GTTCTGTGCACATAACCACAGTTTCTATGTCCATAAACTTGTCTCTGGACATGTGGGTTGCCTCTAGGTCTTTGCTAATGTGAACAATGACACTGAACATTCTTTACATGTCCACAGGCATCCATGTGCAGTTTATCTTGGGCATACACCCTCCTGTGCTGTGCCAGGCAGGCAGTTCTGCAATCCTCAGACCTGTGTCGCTGCTGAGAAACACTCCATCTTCAAAGCACAACCAACAAATAATAGTTTAGTTCCAAATGTATTTTTTATTATCTTATTGTTAATTTTTAATTTTCTAACCTGGTGATCAGAGAATAAGATCACATGAATATCGTTCCATGGTGTGGCCACCCGGTCCTGTTGTTGGACACTCCCGTTCTGTGCACATAACCACAGTTTCTATGTCCATAAACTTGTCTCTGGACATGTGGGTTGCCTCTAGGTCTTTGCTAATGTGAACAATGACACTGAACATTCTTTACATGTCCACAGGCATCCATGTGCAGTTTATCTTGGGCATACCTAATAGTAGAATTGTGGGCTATAGAAGTGTAAGTCTTCAACTTCATAGGATAAGGCCAATTGACTAACTGACTTGCTTACCAGCAATGTGTAAAGATCCTCAATTCTTGATATTGTCAAGACTTAATTTCTCCAGTTGAACGGATGTTAACCGGTATCTCACTATGGTCTTGATTTTAGTCAGTTGTTCAATAAAACATTAACTGGGTGCTCACTCTGTGCTAAGCACTCTTAGGACTGGACTTATATTCCTTGATAATTTACAAGGTGAATTTTTCATCATGTTTCATAGCCATTTTTGCTTACTCTTCTGTGAAACGCCCATTGTGGTATCTGCCGGGGAGTCTTCTCGGTCCACTAAACATCCAGCCCCGGACAAGATAACCAGAGGCCACCCTTGGCGCCCATCTGCTCAAAAGGGCAGGAATATAACTCGCGAGCAGCAGAGATGTGCCTTTTTCTTTTTCTCTCTTTTTTTTTTAAATTAAGGTTTCACATGAAAACACTGTGCATCCTACACCCACCCATAGTATCAAGTCCCCCCACACCCACTGCAGTCACTGCCCATCAGCGTAGGGAGATGCCACAGAGTCACTACTTGTCTTCTCTGTGCTACACTGTCTTCCCTGTGACCGCCCCCCCCACCCCGCTACACACACCATGTGCGCTAATCATAACGCCCCTCAATCCCCTTCTCCCTCCCTCTCCACCCGCCCTCCCACACCCTTTCCCTTTGGTAACCTCTGGCCCCTTCTGGGAGTCTGTGAATTTTCTGCTGTTTTGTTCCTTCGGTTTTGCTTTGTTATACTCCACAAATGAGGGAAATTAAATCATTTTGTACTTGTCTTTCTCCGCCTGGCTTAGTTCACTTAGCCTAACACCCTCCAGCTCCATCCATGTTGTTGCAAATGGTAGGATTTGTTTTCTTCTTTGACTGAATAGTATTCCATTGTGTATATGTACCACCTTTTCTTTATCCATTCATCTACTGATGGACACTAGGTTGCTTCCATTTCTTGGCTATTGTAAATAGTGCTGCGATAAACAGAGGGGTGCATATGCCTTTTTGAATTGGGATCTTGTTTTCTTCTGGTAAATTCCTAGGAGTGGAATTCCTGGGTCAGATGGTATTTCTGTTTTTAGTATTTTGAGGAACCTCCGTACTGCTTTCCACAACGCTTGAACTGATTTGCATTCCCACCAGCAGTGTAGGAGGGTTCCCCTTTCTCCGCATCCTCACCAGCATTAGTTGTTCTTAGTCTTTTCGATGCTGGCCATCCTTACTGGTGTGAGGTGATATCTCATTGTGGTTTTAATTTGCATTTCTCTGATGATTAGCGATGTGGAGCATCTTTTCACGTGCCTGTTGGCCATCTGAATTTCTTCTTTGGAGAAGTGTCTGTTCATATCCTCTGCCCGTTTTTTAATGGGGTTATTTGCTTTTTGGGTGTTGAAGCGTGTGAGTTCTTTATATATTTTGGATGTTAACCCCTTGTCGGATCTGTCATTTATGAATATATTCTCCCATACTGTAGGATGCCTTTTTGTTCCGCTGATGGTGTCCTTTGCCGTACAGAAGCTCTTTAGTTTGATATAGTCCCATGTGTTCATTTTTGCTTTTGTTTCTCTTGCCCAAGGAGATGTGTTCAGGAAGAAGTTGCTCATGTTTATAATTTAAGAGATTTTTGCCTATGTTTTCCTCACAGAGTTTTATGGTTTCATGACTTACATTCAGGTCTTTGATCCATTTCAAGTTTACTTTTGTGTATGGGGTGAAACAATAATCCAGTTTCATTTTCTTGTGTGTAGCTGTCCAATTTTGCCAACACCAGCTGTTGAAGAGGCTGTCATTTCCTCATTGTATGTCCATGGCTCCTTTGTCATCTATTAATTGACCATATATTTTGGGGGTAGATATCCTGGGCCTGTGCTTACAGACCACCGCAGGTGAGTTCAGACTGAGGGTACGTGTGGTGAAGGCCATTCTGAGGGGACAGGCTAAGCACCCACCTGCAGCTCTGCCTGTACCTCAGCGGGTGACAAATACTAAGCAGTATAAATTGTCTGGGGGGCAAAAGGAAATTGGATAAACCCTACAGGAGTTGGAGAGGGTGGGCATCATAAAGCCCACTCATAGTCCTTTTAATTCCCCAGTGTGGCCAGTGAGAAAGCCAGACAGCTCCTGGCATACGACCGTGGGCTACAGGGAATTGAATAAAGTCTCACCCCCCTTTGCATGCTGCTGTCCCCTCTATAGCAGACGTTCTGGACACCCTCAGCCGTGAGCTGGGAACGTATCATTATGTCGTAGACCTTGCTAATGCTTTCTTCTCTATTGACGTAGCACAGGAAGCCAGGAACAGTTTGCCTTCACGTGGGAAGGCCAGCAGTGGACATTCACTGTCCTTCCACAGGGATACCTCCACAGTCCCACCATCTGTCACAGACTTGTAGCCTAGGACTTGGCCACACGGAAGAAACCGCAAACAGTGCAGTTGTATCACTGCATTGATGATGTTATGCTCACATTTGATTCTCTTTGAGGTTTAGAAGGGGCAGTTCCTAGACTGTTGCAATGTCTGCAGGAAAAAGGACGGGCTGTGAACAGCACCAAGGTTCAGAGACCCGGTTTGTGAAACTCTTGGGGGTTGTCTGGTCAGGTAAAACTAAAGTTGTTCCTGATGCAGTCATAGACGAGGTCCAGGCCTTCCCCACCCCTACCACTGTGGCAGTATTACAGGAGTTTTGGGTCTTCTGGGCTACTGGAGAGTGTTTATCCTGCTCTTGGCACAAATTCTGAAGCCTTTATACCAGTGGGCACAAAAGGGCATCAGGTGGGACTGGGGTGAGACATGTGCAGCTGCTTTTACTGCTGCCAAGAGGACAGTCAAGGCCGTACAGGCCTTGAGTGTAATGGACTCACCAAGGCCCTGTGACCTAGATGTTCATGTAACCGAGGATGGTTATGGATGGGGTCTTTGGCAGTGGCTTGAACGGACATGCCAACCTATTGGATTCTGGTCACAACTATGGAAAGGAGCAGAGGTCCGGGTCACCTTGACAGAGAAGCAACTGGCTGCTGTGCACCACGCCTTGCTGCTACCGAGCCCATTGCTGGAACAGCTTCAACCAAGGTAATAACCACTTATTTCATCGTGGGGTGGGTGCAAGACTGGACCCAAAGGCCACGGAGTGGTGTGGCACGGACATGTACACTGGCCAAATGGGGCGCATATTTACAGCAGTGCAGCGCCCTCTCTACTAGCCCCTTGAGTGAAGAACTCCAACGCTTATTGGGGCCAGTGACATATACCAGTGGAAAGCAGGAAGAACTTGCTTTTGAGCCACTGGTAGCCGAGACTCCTTATCAGGAGGGAAAAGCCCCTATACCTGAAGATGCTTGGTACACAGATGGCTCCAGTCGTGGGCAGCCCCTGAAGTGGAGGGCTGTGGCTTCCCTTCCCAAGACTGAGACAATATGGATGGAGGATGGAGAGGGGACGAGCAGCCAGTGGGCTGAGTTGTGGGCAGTATGGCTCGTGATCACCCTGGAGCCCTCCCCCGTAGTTGTCTGCACTGACAGCTGGGCCATCTATTGGCGCTTGACCCTGTGGTTGCTGACATGGTACCATGCCAACTGGATGGTTGGTCACAGGCGCCTTTGGGGGTGAGAGTTGTGGCAAGACCTATGGGCCTCTGTTCAGACCAAGACTGTTACTGTATATCATGTGACTGGCCATTTGCCTTTGGCATCCCCAAGGAATGATGAAGTGGACACACTGGCCCCGGTGTGCTGGCTACAAGGAAAGTCTGCCTCTGATGTGGCCCAATGGCTATACCAGTGTTTGTTGCACATGGAGCAAAAGACAATGTGGGCTGTAGCCCATTGGTGGGGCTTGCCATTGACCTTTGAGGAAGTCAGCAGAGCCCGGAAGGAGTGCCTTGTGTGCTCTCAGAGGGACTTACACCGAGTCCCACAGCAACATGGGACAATAGTAAGGGAGCCAATACCCCTTGTCAGGTGGCAAATAGACTATATTTGGCCTCTGCCTATATCAGAAGGATATCGGTATGCCGTGACTTGTGTGGACACAGCTACTGGCCTGTTTGCTGCTTGTCCTGCACATATTGCAGATCAGCAAGCCACCCAGAGGGGCCTGGAGTGTCTCTGTGCAGCCTATGGCCGGCCACAGGTGATGGAGATGGGTCAAGGCTCCCACTTTACTGGACATGTGTTACAAGGATGGGCACAATTAGGAATAAAGTGGAAGCTTCATGTGCCATATAATCCTACCGGGGCAGGCATGATTGAGAGGTACAGCGGTTTGCTGAAATCTGGCCTGAAGTCAGACACCAACAGTCTATGGGGCTGGTCAGTTTGTTTATGGACGGTGCTGCAGCATTTGAATGAGAAGCCCTGAAAAGGAGCCTTGAGCCCTGTGGAGACGCTCACACACCTTGATGCCTCCCCTATACAGCTGTGTGTGCGAACCAAAGAGGAGGGTATGGCCAGGAGAGCCGCAGCCTTCTGCCAGCCCCAACTGCACCAATTCCTGGAGACGCTGTTGAGTGGACCTGGCCCTGGACATTTCGACACATGGACCAGCGATGGCCGGCCCGTCTGGCACCTTGGGGAAAAGGCCTGGAAGATGGCCTCCTGTGTGTTCCTGGAGTAGCAGCAGAGTGGCCCCCAAAGATCACCGTAGTGTACCCAGAACGTCAGGGATGTAAGAGCATCTTGCAGGGAAGTTTTGTTTTATCTTTATGGCCAGTGCATGCACCTCCCGTAGCCCTATATACTGACCCACCTGTAACTCCCACAGGGAGGGGGGTGAAAGTCTGGTCACTAGACCAGTACGAGATCCCATTCCTGCCACTGTCCTATCACAGGACCTCTCTCTTGCATGTATCCTACCTGACGGACAAGACTTGTCTATGCTGGTATCATTAAAACATGTGTCTTCTTGCCCTGAAGGTTATTTTCTCCTACAGTCCTGTGGCCTGGATGCGCCCCTGGCGGCAGCTGCTGTGTGATGACCAACTCTGAGCTTCCTGCCTGCTTAGCTGGTGACTGCCTGTGGGATGGGCAAGAGGTGGACTCAACCTGCCTAGGGCTTTGACTCTAGGTGAAGCCTCCGGCTTGAGGATTATCATGATTTTATTGCTGTTGCTATTGTATGTTATTAGCCTGATCGCAATGCTCCAGTTTTCTCACCCAAGGGCCATTGCGGAAGAGGGGGAATGTGGAGATTGTGAGGCAAGATTTCTGGAGGGGTGGGCTGTGGGTACAATTGCAGTATTTCCGGAATGTCTCTCCTTTGGCTTTCGTGCATCTGCATATCAATTGGTGTTTCTAAGGGGTGGATAGAATTAGTTCATTTACATATTAACAGGTAATTGCAAGGGCGTGGGAGGGTTTATCTGGACTGCAGAGGTTGGGTGGAGCTCTCTTCTGCTGCAGCCGGGTCAAAAGAGAGACAGGACCACTGCTTGTAAGAAATAAACGGGTTTCTTTTTTTTTTTTTCTACTTTTAAAAAAATTTTGGTGTCATTAATATACAGTTACATGAGCAACATTGTGGTTACTAGATTCCCCCCATTATCAAGTCCTCACCACATACATAAACAGGTTTCTTAAACTTTATTTCTCCCTTTGACTGATTTCGGTTTGACTGATTTTGCCCTGGGATTTTTCCCTGGAGTAACAGTATATTTAAAAGCTTTAAAGTATTTTATCTAGCAGTTTTATGCGTTCAGAGTGGGGGTTTGGACCCCTGGTCTGACCACAAGTCTGGAAAGCATTTAAATGGGGAGTGACACCCCTCTTTGCAGGCAGTACTGGTGGTGACTGGAGACTAAGGCTGTGGCCTTGACCTGGCAGGAGGGCTCAGAGGGAGGGGCAGCCAGGAGATAGAAGCTCAGATGCCCCAGGGTCCCCAGGGTCATGATAGCAGCGGGCAGGATTCTGCAGGAGAGGAGGATCTTGAGCCTGGTGCTCGAGTCCTCCCAGAACCAGGAGACTGCTGGGCACCAGCAAAAGCTGCCTGGTGGGACGGAGGAGTGTGGAATGGAGCTGCTGCAAGAGAGCCTAAAGGTTGGAGAGTTGCCGTGGCAACAGGGAGCGGTGGATGATGCCGAGGTGGGTCCGGGCGAGGGCCCTGGAGGAAGAGGCAGCGTTCAGCAGCGAAGGTGGTGCTGCACCAAGGGGCTGGAGTGTGCGGGAGGGGTTGCTTGCCTTTGGGGCCCTCGGAAAGGTCTCCAGAGCCCTACAAGCCCCAGACAAAGGTGACGCTGAGAACGCTGGATGTCTGGGTGGGGCGCAGGCCTGCTGCCTGGGAAGCAGTGTCTGGGCCCATGCGGAGATGCCGCATGGCTGTGGCACTGGGGCCAGGCCTCCCTGCACCCCCAGGATCCCCATCCCAGGCCTCCCTGTCCCCAGGCCCCCCATCCCGGGCCTCCCTGTCCCCCCAGGACCCACATCCCGGGCCTCCCTGTCCCCCCAGGCCTCACTATCACTGCAGTCCTTTGCCAATCTTCCTGCCTTTACAGAAACTACTTCCAGGATTCTCAGAGAAGATCCCAGCAGTTCAGCACTGCCCAAAAAGTAGAGTTCGGACTCAAGCTTTCCGTCCATGGCTGCCCACACCTGACCTCAATCATACAGCTCTCTCAGGCATCCTCTTTTTTCCACCTGGTTCTCCCAAATGTGACTCCACGCATTCTCCTCAGCTTTTGCTCCTGAAACGCCTCCCACCCCTGTGGAGGCTGAGCTGAAGTCCAGAAGTCTGCGGCTCACTCTTCCCCCAGCCAGCTGAAGCCTGTGCGCCTCCTTGCCTGTAAAGCTCACGCATTCCATGGCCAACAACACCTGGGGTGGGCTGGCCTGGGTGCTAAAACTCACAAGTCACACTTCCAGTTCAAAGAGGGCAAACAGCCCTGGTCAGTCGGAAAGCAGGTGGCCCCCCTGCTGGTATGAACTGAGCCAGTGCCCACACTGGCCACTCCCCGTGAACTGATGACTGTTGCTCTGCAGGGCAGAGAATGTCATGGAGCTGTGGACACTTTGTGTCACTTAAGCTTGAAAACAAGCATGGATTGAGTGATTCTTATGTCAGTAAACATTTTTGATTGAAGAAAAAATTAGCCGTCTGTGGCCTTAGTACAGTGAGTCGTGCCATCACCCCCCAGCGGGAGCCACTGGGTCTCCTGCTCCCTGTGGTGAGGCTGACTGCACGCTGCGGGGGGCCTTGCAGGGTAGGGGTGCCGTAAGGACTTGGTGTGTGATTTGGCTAGTTGGGGTGGACTGGCGAGGGGTAGGGAAGCAGGGCTTTGCTTTGGATCGGATGATCCCAGGAACGGGAGTCACCCTGCGTCTGAGTGTCTCGGCACGTCTTCGGCAGGAGGCTGACTGGAGGCAGGCTGAGGCTGTCAACTGCTGAGGCAGCAGCCGCTCGTGTGAGGCAGCACAGAGCATGTCAGTCCTTCTTACGGCTGCACGAGCCCCGTGTTTGTCTGTGTTCGGACATGATTTGGAAGGGCTTTGTTCCTGTCTGGTTCTTGTTGGGTCACAGAGGGGTCTTGTCTGATAATGGTGGTTTGTGAAATTATTTTTATTTCAAATGGGAGAACACCAGTGTCCATATCTGGGGTGCCAGGCCAGCTGCCAGCAACCCCGGGGCCTAGCTGATAGGCCCAGGCCAGCCGCCAGGGGCCGCTTCCTTCTTCACCTGAGAAATCACGTGGCCAGCCTCGCCATCCCTGTGGCTCCGTCCAGCTTTGCGGGTCGGCACCTTCTACACGCCCCGCACCAGTCGGATGACAAGCTGCCTCACCTCCCCTCCCTGGTGGGACAGGCAGACAGCAGGACCCCTCTGCAGCACTGCCGGCCCCCAGCACGTGCGCCCCCAGCCCGTCTCGCGCATCTCAGCGGCCCCCCTCCGTGCTTGCCTTTCCAATCGCCATTCTGTGGCTGGATTCATCTTCCTGAACAAGCCCAGCTTTGGTGCCTGCGAGTCCCCTTGGCTGACAGGACAGGTCTGAGCCCCCAGCAGTGGGTGTCCCTGGCCATTTCTCTCACGTTAGGGGTCTCTGTTCTATATGCCCGCCCCCGGGGCCTGGCCATGTCCAGACCCCGGCGGTCCCCAAGGAGCCCGCAAGCGTTGGCTTAGCCAAGGGCTTGTCCTGGAGCAAACGCGGTTGGTGCACATCCTGCGGGGCAGCCCTCCTCAGCCCCTCCTCCCACTGACGTGCTCTCCAGCTGCCGGGCCTCCCCCTCGGCGGATCCTGGCCAGCCTGCGCCAAGCAGGTTCCTGCACCGAGCACTGGGGGCGCGGCGCCCTGGGTGAGGAGCTGCATCTGCGCAAGGGGGTGGCTGCCGAACGGGGGAGGTGGAGGGGACCTGTGTCGCCTTCCCAGTGCTCAGCATGTGACAAAGCCCAGCGATTAAGGGTAGTGTGCTGAGAGCAGGGCGAGGTGAACCCCAGGTAGGGGTCCGGGGGCTGGGAAGGCACTGCACACCCCCATCCAGTGAAGTGGGCCCGCCTGTAGCCCAGGCTGTGCAGGCTCAGGCCTAGGGTTGAGGGGCCAGGGGAGCATGGGAGGCCAGCTGGAGCGGCCAGTGGGCAGATAGCAGGACCTGTGTGCCAGGCAGAGACTATGGACTTCATCTCACTGGCAACCACAGGGGGGTTTTCAGCAGCAGGGTGGTATGATCAGTTTCGGAAACACACCAGGTGGCTGAGCAGCGGGTTGGCAGAGGTGGGCTGACAGGTGAACACGAGGTGACCTCTGGAGGCAGGGGAAGGTGGGCAGGAAGGAAGGGTACAGCAGGACAGAGGAGAGAGGACTGCCATTCCCGGCCTGGGTGGCTGGGCAGGTGGCACCCAGGAGCTCCCACAGCAGCAGGTTTGGCGGCCAGGCCTGCTTTGGGCAGGTCCCACCTGTGGTGCCTGTGCACCTGGGGGTTGCTGGCTTGCAGCAGGCCCCTTCTCAGATGCTGGGGTGCAGGCCAGTTAAAGGAGTGGGGTGATGGGCTGGTGAGCAGGAGGTGGAGGAGCCCCAAGAGGCGGCCCTCAAGCCACACTGAAGGGAGGGTGTGTAGGGGAAGAGCAGTGGGGACAGTGGGGTCCGTGGGGCTCAGGAGGCCTGACAGGGCTGGGCTCCAGGGCAGAAGGACCAGTCTGTGGGGAAGGCGAGGATGTGGGCAACTAACTGACCTGTGAACACAAACCCTAGAGCCAACTGGTGGGTGGATGAGGGCAGAGTTGAGGCAGCACGGGCCCCAGGGGGATGTAGGCCAAGCTGGGGCGGCCACAGAAGGTGCTCGAGCTCTCCAGGAGGGCGGAGTGCTGTGCAGGACCTTTGTGGGAGCCCAGCCTGGGCATCGGGTTAGATTGGCTCCCTGGGGCCTTGCAGAGCCCCAGACACCACGCTCAACGTCAGAGAACCTGCCCCTCTGGGAGTGCAGCCGTACCCCACCATGTGGCTGGGCGACTGCAGAAAGGGACTCGGAAGCGAGGTGGGGAAAGGAGATGGGAGAGGAGTTAGCCATGGCCACCACTGGCCCACCTGCCCCTGCCCCTCCAGTGCCCTGATGATGCCCACAGCCCCACAAGGAACCTGCAGCAAGTGTGACGAGAACACAGAGAGCAGAGGGTCCCATTTATTGGAACTTAGCAGAGGGAGATAGAGGCCGCTCCCCCAGAAATGTCCCCATCCTCTCTGCCCTCAGGGCTCAGCACGCAGGGACCACACCCCCCCCAGGTCCCCAAGAGGGCAGCCTTGCAGGGTGGGGGTGGGAAGAGAAGAGGGTGCTCTACGCCAGGCAGGGGAGCAGGGACAGTAGGGGAGACGTGCACCCTCACTTCTTGGCTCAATCCCTCTCCCCTGGGACCTGGTGTTGCCCCCAGACCCTGGAGTGGGGCTGGCAGACAGGGCTCATGCAACAGTGAGTGGGCAGGAGGTGGCACAGAAGCCCAGCCCTGCTGCCCTTTGCGGCGTGGGAGGGCTGGAGGGGCTGTGCTGGCCAGAGCGGGAATGAACAGGAATATCTGCAGTGTACACACACGAGGTCGGACGGGCCCGGGGATGGGGGAGAGGAGACACTGATGACACTGCCAGTGGGGCCAGGGGCCAGAAGCCAGGGCAGCCACACCACCTGAGTGGCGCCCTGCATGGGCTACTCCTTGGCACGGCCGATGATGGTGAGGATGTACAGGAAGATGTTGATAATGTCCGTGTACAGGTTCAGCGCGGCAAACACGTACTCTTCCGGGCTCAAGGACAGCTGCTTGTTCCCCAGCAGCAGCTGGGTGTCCACTGCCAGGAACTGGTGATGACAGTAGGGTGGCGCTGAGGGATAAGCCCTCCCGCCCACCAGAGGCCCACTCCACGCCGCCCACCCCTCACTCACGCAGGTGAAGAGCAGAGCGCCAAGCGAGGCGTACACAATCTCCAGGATGCGGTTCCGGATGAAGATGCAGAGGATGGCAAAGATGACCAGCACCACCATGCTCACCAGGAGCACGCCCATGCACGAGGTGAAGTCGTAACGTGTCTGGGGGCACAGGAGGGACAGGAGGCCCTGGGTGCCGGCCCCCCACAGGCCTTGGGGCCCAGGGGGGCTGGCAGCCTGCCTGACAGGCCCCTCACCTGCATGGAGAAGATGACGACCGTGAAGCAGACAGTCGTGGTGATGCCCACAGCCATGATGACGGCCTCGGTGTTGTAGAAGCCGGCGATCATCCCCACCATGTAGGACAGGCTGACGGTCAGGACTGACTGCAGGGAGATGGAGACAGGTATAGGGAACCGCTCCCTGCCCCCACCCGCCTCCACCCTCACTGTCACACCAAAGAATGGGAGCGTGGGGTGGGGAGGCTGGGCCCCAGGGCAGGGCTCAAGTTTGGGGGTTACCAGTGCAACGAGGTTCCAGGGGTGCTTTCGCCGGAAGTCCCCACAGCAGCTGAGAACGATGAGTGAGATAAAGAAGACGGCATAGGAGACGTAGTAGGTCCATACGTTCTCCTGGACGAAGCCCTTCACCTCCCTGACGAACGTAAACACGGCCACAGTGGACAGAGTCACAGACAGCTGCACGGTCAGCACGAGGAATACCTGGGGAGGGAGCCGGCTCAGCACAGCACCCGGCGCCAGGGTCCCAGCCCAGGCCCCCCACCCAGGCCCCCCGCCCAGGCCCCCCGCCCAGGTTCACCTTCCGGATGAAGGCCTGGCGGATGCTCTTGTCATCCCAGTTGGCGGCAGGGAAGTCCTGATTGTCGTAGTAGGACGGGGGCCCCTCCTCATGATAGTTCCCAGGATGAGGTGCTGAGGAGCGGGATGCGCTGGGTCAGGGCCCCGCGGGGGTACCTGGAGGCCCTGCCCTCCCCAAGCCCTTGTCACACTACTCACAGCCAGGGTCCTGTGCTGGGAAGGCCTGTGGTTGTCCGTAGGGGTTGGGGGGAAAGGGGCTGTGTGGATATGGCCCCTGAGGGTAGCCCCCCTGCGGGTAGGGGCCCTGAGGGTAGCCCCCCTGGGGGTAGGGGCCCTGAGGGTAGCCCCCCTGGGGGTAGGAGCTGGGGCCCTGGGGATAACCTGGCTGGCCATAGGGGGCAGCCTGGAACGGGGGCTGTGGGTAAGGGGCTCCAGGGTAAGGAGGCATGGAGGGCTGGGGCCCCCCAGGATATCCAGGGTTTAGGGGTGGATAGCTGTCTCCGGACACCAAGAAACTCTTTTCGTGGGGCATGGCCTCAGGTTCTGTGGTCTCCCCCTAGAGGAGAGAGAGGAAACAGCCCTGCGGTGACAGGTCCCCAGAACCGGCGGGGCGCCCCGCCCCACCTGCGGCGGGGAGCCGGGACGGAAGGAGGGGGATTCATGACCTTTGCCCCTGGCTGTCGGGCGTGCCCCTCCCTCCCACCCCCAGCCGAGAGGCTAGGGGAGTCGGGTGGGGACCGGGTGGCTGGGCGCGGACTTCAAAAGGGGCCGCTCTACCGGCCCCACCGATGGAGGAGGGGATCACTGTCAGCGTGTGGATTCGGGCTTCGGCAGGTTCGCAGAAGCCGCGGAAGGGGCCATCTCACCGCCGCCGGCGTCTCCCGGCTCCCAGCTCGGCCCGCATCCGAGCTGGGGGCGCGGTCGGGGAGGTGTGGGGCTGCGCCCGGACCCCCCCTCCGCAACCGCCCCTTAAGCAGCTTTCAGGGGCCCAACGTAGGAAATCCCCACGCCATCTGTGACCAGCGAGAGCCCTGGGCCCCCGCAGCCGCAGGCCCGCCAGTCCCTCCCTCCGCCGGGGGGTACGCCAGGAACAGCGGGGTGCGGGGGTGTGTGTGGGGGATGGAGGCGACCAGAGGGCGTGCGGGGGAACAAAACAGGCGTGAGGGCGAGGCGGGTGGGGACGGCGGCCACGGAACCCGTACGGGGCCGAGGGGGGCCCTCCTGCCGGGTCGGGGGCGCTCCGGCCTTGGGGCCGCCGCCGCCCCGGCGCGCCGCCCCCTCCTCCCGCTTGGCGCTGCGTGTCCGCGACCCCGGCCGCCGCCCTCAGCCCCGAGCGGGCCGCGCGCCCGGACCGGACCGAACCGGACGGACCGACTGACCCTCGGTGGCGCTGCTCGGCTGCGTAGGGTCAGCGCGGGAGCGGGGGCGGCGGCGGCCGGGCGGCTGGGCCGGTAGGCACCATGCTGAGCTCCGGCCGAGGACTCACCACGCGCGGGGGAGCCTCGGGACGGTGCGCACGGGGTCCGCGGTGCGGCCGCGCGGTCGATGGCCGCTGCGCCCGCGCCCGCAACCGCTCGGCGGCCGGTTCCGCTGGGCCTGCCCCTGCGGTTCTGGAGACGCAGCGCGGCCTTGTGACGGGGCGGGCCCGGGGCGGGGCCCGGCGGCGCGCGGCGGGGCTTGTGGCAGGAGGGCGGGGTCTGCCTCCGGAGCGGCGGCGAGGCCCAGTGACGGGGCGGGGCCCGGGCCGAGCGGGC